CTCTTTCTCCTTATTTTACGGCACGATGCTCGAGAGCTGCGAGTATCTCGTGGAGAAAATGGACCGCCCCCGTCCGCTGGTAAATGGCATTATAAATCGGTCGGAGCCGCGCGCTTCGGTATGAAAGGGGTTTCTGTCGCGCGGCTGCTCGCACTCGGAGGATGCTCGATCCTTCAAGACCTACTTCGTTCGATGGCTCGCTCACGCGAGAAAGGAAGATTCGTCTCGCGTTTTAAGAGAGTATATCGTCAAAATATAAGTGCGCGATCGCGCGTGATACGAGCACCGCGGTACATCACATGTACGTACGTTTCACATGCGTGTGTATGTATGTGTGTGTGTATGTATGTGCGTGGTATACACACGTAATAAGCGACACGTCGAATCTTCGTGAGATCGATACTCTCTGTTCGCGATATACCCGACGGTTCTCCTTCGATGGTAGATCCTGAATCTTTTGTTTGACGATACATTCCGAAGGAGAAACCTTCGCTCCTGATGATCCGAGGAGAGATCGGGGGACGGATACAAAGGTAGAATCCGGGGGCTTAAAGAGGAGACACGAACACGCTCGCGAGAGAGAACTGGTTCCATCCTCCATGATCGTTCGTTTGAAAATCTTATTCCGTGTGCTCGCGAAAATCACATCCTCGCTGCAGAGAGGAAGTTCCCTTTACAAACTTCCTCGGGTAATTTCTCGCGCGCGCTTATAGAAAAGCGCACAATTACAATTTAGAAGATTGGATACTAAAGCGGGATACTAAACTAGTAAAGTATTAAATTTGACAATTACATTCATAGTCATATCTTCTTTTTTTTTTTATAACTACGACCCTTCGACTATATTCCGTTACATTTCGTTTCGATGATTCGTAAACCACAGAACGAATAATTGTTTATTTAACAAGGCGCTTTTTATTGCGTCGAGCGGTATTGCAAACGGTATTGACAGAGCAAAGAATCATCGATATCAAAATATCTTATTGAAAACATTCCTGAAGGAACGGTCAAGAAATTATGAAATCGTTGAGGAATATTTGAAAGATAAAATAGCGCGTTGTTAAGTAGTACAAATCTTTGTTAAATTGAAAAAAGAAGTTTCAATCGGCATCTTGTCTGGTATTTCAATTGAAGAGTTTCAAGAGTACTTCTTTAACAGCGGAAACATCCTTGGAATATAAACGCAAAAGAATTCTTCGTTTCGAAAAAGATAGTATTAATTTAAATGCGAACAGAGAGATAGAGAGTGAACTGTTCAAGTTTGAGTTAAAAAAAGGAGAGAGTCAAGATCTCGTGTACTTGATCACGACCACGTGTGCATTTTGTGCGACAGCCATCTTCTAATCGCAAGGAGGGGAACGATACACCCGATCGGAGAGCAGCGGCGCGGCGTTCCGCTCGCGAGCGAACCGCGACGGAACCTGAAGGACGAGCGCGTTATTTCGTTACAATGCCAATGAGGGCCCTCGCGTGTAATTATAGCGGCCGGGGCAAGGCGAGAGCGAGCAGCCGCTCCGTTGACTTTGCAAAGGGACGGCGACGGAAGGGCCGCGGGACGGCGCGAGGGGAGGACGACGGTAGACAGTCGATCGGGTCAACGGGGAGAAAATAATTGACCTCGAAAGTCTAAGAAAAAAATTGCCGGCGACCTGGCTTTTATGGACAGCGACGGGTGCGAGGATTTATCCCTCCCTCCCCACCCCTTTCCTCCTCCCCTCCACCCTTTCTCTTGCTCTCGCTCTCTCTCTGTCTCTCTCGGAAGCGCGCGGCGTCATGCAAAATCGAAAAAAACCGTGTGTATATCGATACCGTAACCGCTGACGTGCTAGCCGTCGCCACGATGCGCGATCCTGTGAGACGCGAGAGCGGGGAGATAAATATCCTATGTAACCAAACGTGTGACATTTCTTTCCCTCTACCCTCCCCCCCCCACCCCCTCCCCCGGAGTCGAGCCGAGCCGAGCCGAGCCGCGGTGCGGTGTGCTCGTAGTTCCATGGTATCGATTTGATGCACAAAGGTTAAATGTTCCAGTCCAGCGGTTTCAATCGCAATCACATCTGTTTTATCTTACGTAAGACCACGATGCTGGAATATTTTTCAACTTTTTCCCCGAGATTTCTCTCCTTTCCACGGTCTCTGCAGTCGTGACAGACCGAGAGGGGGGGGCGCTTCTGAGCCGTCCTTCTCCTAGCGGAGGATTAACTTTTTAAAGAAGAAAATCAATTCCAGAAACAACAACGTTCTGTTAATTCATATTACTTTTAAATGTGCGCATTCGCGAGAATGTTTCCCGTTGGAAATATGCATTTTCCTCGATTCCTTGCGGATTCCTTTAATCACGATTGGACGAATTACACAAATATGACGAGAAATTAATAAGTTTCTATACATGCTTGAAATGTGGAATATTTTTAAAAATAAATAACAAAATTATTAACAGATACCAAAAATTTATGTCTGCAGAAAATTTCAAGACTTTATTCCAGCCTAGTATTAGTTGAAAATTCACGTTCTAAGATATTTGAAAAAGGGGAAATTGAATTCCATTAAATTTTCGATCGGTGAAATTGATAAAAAATTCACGGATTGAAGGAAGCGCGTTTGGTCCGAAGCATTTTGCACATTGATGATATCAAGACGCGCGGATTGTTGGAGAGGGGGATCAAATTTTCCACGATAGGAGAATATTGGCAACGAACACGCGGCATCTGTAAAGGCTTTAATCCGTATTGTTCGCGCGCAATTAAGCTTGTTTAAAACTGCCGCGTCACCCGATGATTATTAAACAGCCGCGGATAACGAATGCGGGACAAATGTTAGCCGCATAAAAGGTCCAACGGGATCGCGCCCTGCCCCTTCTCGTTTCCACCCAAAACCGTGTTGAAGCTAATGGAGTCGTCATTACGGCTCTCACATTCGAGCGTGCGAGCGAGCGAGCGAGCGAGCGAGCGAGCTAATTAGCGCGGACACAAAATTCGTGCGAAATCCGCTGGTGCGTTCGTTAGCAGCGGCCGTTGCCAATTTAATGCGGGTCAGTGGTCCGTGTGTTACAACGAATAATATTAATTAGTGATGCATTCGCGCGTAACGCGTCTCTACTCGCGCCGATAACAACCGAATTCCGACGATCGTCCCGAGCACAAGATCGATAGGCCACCATAATTAATATCCTACATGTTATATCTACATCTTCTACATTTTTCTTACATTCTAATATAATACTGCATATTTTTTCCACAGCTCTTAAAGTTTCGCTTACTGCTGGCTTACTCGCCATTGTTATTTCTCCCTGAAAATTTCAGCGGGCAATTACAATCCGCATACAGCCTTGTGCAACTGCGCAGTACGTTTTTATCGCATTCATAAACGTAGACGTGCAAATGCCAAATGCAGCTTTCACCACCCGATTCATTTTTGCGAGACTAGAAAATCGTCGCGCGGTTAAGTTTTCCCGTTGCCAAGATATTCCACCTTTAACACGTGCCTCGCATTCGGGATTATTAATGGCATCGTTGTCATTGGGAGAGACAGAGACAGGGGTGGGGAAGGGACTTTGGTTCGTCTCTCTTCGACGCGCCGATTAATAGCGCGTTAAATTACTGAGAGAATCTCGCGGGGTCCGAATGCATTCTGCGATGCAATCTGCCGGCAGCACGTCGCTCGAATTCATGTCGACGCGGAAGTTCTGCAATTAAAGCGGAGGAATGCCGATCAGACCGGGGGATCTACGAGCGATTGGAGCTGCTCGATAGAGGCTAACGAATTGTTTCGATTTAATTGGAGGATCGCGATATTGTCGACGTGGCACAATCGCAAGCTAGTTTGCATATTTACGTCTTTGTGACGGTCTCCTCTTCTACAGCGTCTTAGTCGACATTGCGATTGCAGTTTCTTAACGTTTTAGTCTATCAATAGACCGCTTAATAGGTTATTAACTTAATTCAATTGTCTTATGACTGTAGAAAATAATTATGGTATAGGAAATTATATTTTGTTGACACTCTGTGAAAATGGTTTATTACGAAGTACATATTACGTCTGCTGTAAATTTATATCTGAAGGTTACGAAACGGTAACCGGCATTATGATTACATGGTGAGTTACTTTATTAATGCCCACTCCCTTCGTTTCTGTTTCAGTGCGTATTGTACCTGTGGGCGCTGAAATTGTGCCATCCGAACACACTCTTCCTCCTTAGAGGTAACCACGAGTGCCGTCATTTGACGGAATACTTCACATTTAAACAGGAATGTAAGTAATCTCAAATCCCTTTTTTCTCTCATATTTACAATTAAAATTAAAGAAATATACTGTAAACGACCAGTTCATGTCTGTACAAACCGTCAGCCTTTTTCTCACTCTTTATAATATTTACGGACAAGAATATAAAACCCCCCGCCCCCTCCGCTCTTTTTCTCTTTCTATTTCTGATTTCGAAATATTCATTTCCCGCATTGTTGAATCTTTTACGTGCCGCGTACCGTGCACTTTTTAACCGTTTTTTGGCCCACTTTTGTTTCGTCGTAATAAGAAATTATTTCCTGTTTAATAATTCGCGATTTGGATTAAGTCTCCCGCCATGTTAGTTACGGTGGGGTGTTGCCTCGTAAGGTGGATTAGCTCCACGCTGCGACGAAATTTATGCGGCTCATATACATCGCGAGCTTTTGGTGTATTTCGAATATACATCTTAACATATACGCGTGTACTGTATAATTAGGGTCTAAGTAACAAAACACAGCTTTCAAGAAAGAATCGTGAGTGGAATAAAAATTACAAGATATGTCAGGTTTGTGCAGATTTCGCTTTATATCACGTTTACATGGAACGAAACAAAAAGATACAAAGATAATTTATAGAGCTATTAAAATACGTAAAATAAATTTCTAAAAATTAATGTATACATATTGCATTAATATAATTAAATAAACTATCGTTATGAATAAGTACTGGAATTTAAATCTAGATGTTTAAAAAACATACATTATATAACTGGTTACAAAAACTGAAATTGTTTTATATAATGTAAATGTAATGCTGAGAAAACATCAACTTAATTAACAGAATATTTAATGAAGCTAATTTATCTCACGTTCTTTACATTTTTTTTTTCTATAGCTTTATATCTTGTTAAGTTTGCAAATATAATATCGCGTGACGGTATCATTCTAAACTGTTAATTATTATATAATTTTGTTACAATTTTATTCATATATATATTTTTTTTTAATTAATATAAATATTATATATAAGGGATTATTCCATTTAAATGAATAATAGTGAAAAATGACATAAAAATTATCTAGAACTCGTAAAAGACACGCTGTGTATAATAATACTAACGTTATAAAAAAAAAAAAATGCAGCAATAACGAGACTCGGTCGATCGTGGCGATAACTCGAGTTGCGTGTGCAATATCGACCTTGTGACCCGCGTGTGTCCCCTCAGTCCTTCGATCACCTGTACCCCATGTCGAATAAGTTACGAGATTGTAAACCACTGGACATCACAGCACAGCAGTTATGTTTGCCGAATGGCGGGGAACATTCGGGGAACACCCGTGGCTCTCGCACTCCCGTTGTTATGCCTAAGTTCAAGTTTGCTCGCAACCGAGGCGAGCTTCGGGATTACATTAATCGCGCGAGTCCACCACCGGGTTACGCTGCTTCGCTCGCCCTGTAATGCAATTTATACGCGTGGATATCCGGGTCCAGATTTGCGGCGGATTTAACGTCAGACGCAGCTGCTCGTCTCCCATCCTTCCGTTTCGCGCTGGGCAAATGAGATTGCGACGTGCGAAAAAGCGACGAGCGATCGCCTCTCGCCTGTCGGTCGGAAACCCCCGTTGATTGGCCGCGCTTAATTCCGCCTTCCGCATAATCGCGCGAAATGTACCCCGCGTCTCGTCGCGCGAGAAAACCTCACGTCGTACATTACCGACTCCCCGTCCCCCCCCCCTCCCCGTCTCGTCGCGCGTCGTGTCGCCGCTCGCATCGTAAATGTTATAACGATGCGACCGAGGGAACCGAGACGGCGAGCGGGGGCGCCTCGCAAATACTCGCAGGCTGACCTAGTATCGGACAATTTTCCGCGATCGATACACTTTTCCGCGAGACGCCGCCGGCTTCTGCTGCGCGAGTTCCCGAGCTATGCGTCGCGAGGGATGCACCGACGACGAGAAAAAAACGCTGTCGCAGAGGAACGGAAATTTTTCGAGGCTTACAGTCTTTAGGTCGATTTAGTGGTCTAATTAATATGTCGGCAATTTCATTTCCGAAAGGCCGCCGAGTCATTTATTTTACGAGACTGAGAAATGTATTATAACGACGACGCGTTTACAATAAATCTTTTCAAAACGCTTTTCAAAATAAATCCGGCCGCTGCTCTAATGACAGTTTGATTAGCGAGCGTCGGACATAAATTCATATCGCGCTCTTAATAACGCGTTTTACGCGTTATTAAACGTTTTATGTTGCTTCATTGTATCTCACCGGTGTACTCTCGTATTTCTCGCGCGTCTTCTTTATATTTCCACGCTTACGGCACTATTATTATTGCAAACGTAAAAGCTGAGCTTCGCGGAGCGTCGAGAGGGGACCGCGGGCTCATTCGTGTCGCATTTTCGCGCCCGGGACGGGCCCCGTTTTGAGGAACAGTTCTAATTTCCTCCTACATCCCGAACCGGCGTAATGCCATTTCCGCCCGCGAATATTAAGCCGAGCGCGAGCCACCCGACGAAGAGAGGGGGAGGGGGGAGGGGTGGCCCGACAAAAACTCCCTCGCTCGCGCACGCACCGTGACCCCGATTCCACGCGCGTTTAATAACCGCGATAACCGCGAAAATCCCAGCGCGCGCACGACGCCGGCCGGCGCTTTAATCATCGTTTTAACGGAGCTTTCGCCGTGCATTTATTGGCGAACGTTTGGGTGCCCTCCCCCGGGGGAGAGCGGGCCAACGGGGGTGTGCCTGCCCTCGCGTATATCCGCTTCTCTCGTCGGTTTCGTTTTTTTTCTTTTTTCTTTTTTTTTTTTACAGCCGCCTATTTACGCGGCCTAGTTACCCGCCGCTATTACGCCGGCATTCACGTGCCGACCGATCGAGAAAATTGCGATTATCTCTAGCGACTCGAGCTTTTCCTCGCGATACAAAGTCGCGATAGCACGCTCGCGCAGGAACAGGAGTAGCGCGCGGTGATTTTCTTTTTTTTTTTTTCCCCTCTTCTGCCCTCCTTAACGAAGGCAGGAGAGATTTAGCCGCGAGACCTGATAGACCCGATAACCTTTAGGGTAATGCGCGCACATTCTGTTTTCGTTTAAACTCACGTTGCGGATTACGACAATGTGGGTGTTCATCCCTATCGCGACTTAACCTAAAGCGCGAATATAATAAGTTGCGGGGATGCGGTAGATCAGCGACAATATATCACATTCGCGTGACTCCATCCACATTTTTTCCGCATTTTTGCCAAACACCGCGCGCACATTTTTCTGCCAATTCGGATAACAATGACGCGAGAAAAATGTAACGCGCTTAACCGTGACGTATAGAGAAGAGTTCGATACCATTCTATCAAGATAAATGCGCGGTTGCTCCTTGCCTCGCCGTATATCTCGTACACCCCAAATATATCATTTTTATCACGTCGTATCTAGCGTAATATATGGTGACGTGCCTCCGATCGCGTATGGAAATCTTAAAATAAATAGAGCTATGAACTTCAGAAAATTTCTTCCTACTTGCTTAAAAAAAAATCTTATCTGTAATGTTAAAATATCATATTTCATTATAGATCCTTTTTGACTTGATTATAATCATAACATATTTTTTGTTTATTTATAATCTCTACAGTTCTTATTTCATGTTTTCTCCTTGTTTCGAGACGTGATATCGTGCAATAGTCTTTATTATAGATCCTTTTTGTTTAATTATAATTACAATAAATTTTTTTGTTTAATTATAATCTCTACAGTTCTTCTTATTTTGCGTCTCTTTCCTTCGAGACGTGATATTGTGCAATTGTCTTGCGCTACTTCTGGCTCTTGCGACGCGCAACGCTGGAAACTAACGATCGCGTTTCCTGAGGGTCGTATTCCGAGCCCGAGAAACGCATTATTCCGAGCGATCTTGTCGCTCGCGCGCTTTTCGAGCAAGAAGCCGGGACGCGATGGCCGCGCGCCAGAATCACGTGGCGTATCATTTCGAAATGGACTTTGCTGCCAAAAACGATCGTTTGTCCGCGAACGTGGGAGACGATGAGAGCAAACGCGCAATTAATTCGTCGAAATCGTCATTTTTATCACGATGAGTGTCAGCGTCTGTATCACGTAATGATCATGAGAGTGGAGCAAAATGTTACTTGTGAAAATCAATTGCGTGCTATTACAAAGATTACAAAAGGCACATAATTTCTGCTTTATTAATTTGAGATCTCTTTAAATTTTTTTCTCAATTAATTTTATAAATTTCTACATTATTCGTAATTAATCTCGTTTTTTTTTTTAACTATTAACTATCTTGTCAGCTTAATTATGATTATATGTATTCGAGTTTTGTTTCGAGATACCTGTCTCTTTTTCTCCTTCTCCCTCTCTTTCATTTAATAATCTCGAGACATGAGAGTCGGGTCCGTCCTTGGCGCAATATTACGGACACCCGCTTCGCAATACTTCAATCTGCACAACCCCAAAGAGTCTCCCACGTCCACCGGCCGGGTCGTTCATTTGCGAGATCTCTGCGTGAAGGCCTTCGAGTGGCAACCTCGAACGGCGATCCGTTTAGCTTCAGCGCCAACAAATCTTTATCCTGTCGAGATTACTTCGCTTTATTGGAAGGAAATACTTTTCACGCGTCACCCCGAACAGCGACTCGACGATCCTCCGTCCGATGTAGTAAATACAAGTTGTTTCACGTCAATTTTCGAGATCACGCTTTAACAGAGGAAACGTCATCGAAAAAAACAGAGAGCCCCAGAGGGCTCCTATGGGCTCCCTCTGCGAGTTGAAGTTTTATCATTTTCATGTGCGTTATTCAGTTGTAAAAGCAATCCAAACTTGGAATCCAAAGAAAAACAAAAAAAATACATCGATGTTTACTCGTACCGAAGATTGACTCGTTGTACTCCAGAAATGAGATGGCAATTACCTGTTCCCGTCTTATTCGCGGGCGGAGTGTTATCGCTCGTGCACGGCGAGAGGAGAGATATCGCAGAGCGGTATATAATAAATTTCAGGAACACAGAACAGGCGTGGACGAGCAGGCGGGCGCGGGTCCTCCATTTTCTGGAGAGTATCCATTATTCTGCGAGGACTGCGGGAGTGCGACGTAAAATGGAGCTCCCGTGTTCTTTTTACGACTCATTCGCGAAATGGTCCATGGTCAACTATGCGTACCTCGCTCGTCAGGATCCTTCCTTCCTCCTGACTCCCTCGTGTCGCCTTTTTTTCTCCTTCGTCTCGGTTTTCCTTCCGTTCAACGACGAATTAAACGTGTTGACTTTGATCTCCAAGCCTCGTCTCGTAAAAGTGCTCCCGCATAAAGGTAACTGGACACGATCCCCGATATCTTCGTACGACCGTCGTAAACGCAATAACGCTGATGAAACAAAGTCCCTCCATCGCACGAAGTGCCAATCCGTTATTTTAATCTTGGATCTTTTTTTCCCTGCTTTCAGGTAAAATAAAATACTCCGAAAGGGTGTACGACGCATGCATGGATGCTTTTGACTGTTTGCCGCTCGCCGCCCTCATGAACCAACAATTCCTTTGTGTGCATGGCGGTCTGTCGCCGGAAATTCACAATTTAGAAGACATTCGCAAAGTAAGTAAGTCCCTCACGCATTTCGATCGTTGCGATCTCCTTACAAATAATATCGGATTACTTTCTAAATGAATCTATTTAGATCTGCGAAACTTATTGTTATATAAAATCAATCGACGTTCAATATGAAAAAAAAAGCACTTTCTGAATAAGAAGAATTTTTATGAGAAGTTTCTCACCGATATTTATTTTTCTGATATCTTTACATTTTTATTCTTTCGATCGAATCTGCGCCTGAGTAATTTTTGCGGAAATCTTAAAGGCTATCTTTTCGATTTAAATTAAATTTCTCGAGATCATTCTTTTTATTTGGCTTTTCACGAACTTTCATCGGGAGAGCAGATGTCGCGAGAATCATCTAGGACGCGTCGCGCCTTAACAAGGCGCGATCGTTGATAATTGCGTTATCCTTCTTCCGTATGCATTAGCCTTGATATTATTTCTCGTAATCGTGCCGAGGCCAATCGTTCGATCGGCGGAGAGTCCAATGACACTCCGCCGCGCCGGAAGCGAACCAGGGAGAGCACCGACGTGCTGCCACCTGCTCTATCGATCCATCCACCTACGCCTTTTACCTTCCTGCATTGCGTGCGGCACACACGGGCGTGCGTGCGGTGCACGCGTCCCGATCACGCGCGTCTGCGACTAGAGCTCCCCTTCCCCCCCCCTTCACCTCGCTCGAATTCTCGGCTCTTTTGTCTCGGCCGTTCTAGCGCGTATTTGCCCCGCGTCTCGCGATTCCGCAGATAAACGATAAAATAAATCTCCGCTCGTATGCGGAATGGGATGTTAAATATAACCGGAGTGCGGACCGGGCGATCGTCTCGGGTACGTTTCGAGACGAAGGTGGTTCCAATTATTTCCACTCCACGCTTTCGGCACGTTCCCCGTTACCCGTTACTCGTTTCATCGTTGTAATTATACGCCATTGTCGCGATTTTACATCGACGGAATTGATCATCGAGAGAATTTTCAGTGATGTCGGTCGCGTCGTCACTGCGCATTATTCTATTTCTAAAGACTAACGTGTGATGTTCGATCGTTCGTGGATAGATTCCGCTCGTCGCGCAGCGGTCGTATTTTCTCGGGAAAAATGGTCCCTAAGTAAATAACTTCATCCACTCAGTTGCCTGTCATCGCGTAATGCGTCAAAGCGGAAACAGGAAATAGACTCGCCTCATTCGGGATTTTCTTGGACCCTCGTATCGCGCCGCGAGTCCCCTCCTTCCCCCCTTCCCCTCCCCCCGACTTATCCGACTTAACGCGCGTCTTGTCCGTGTCGAGAGCTCTCACGTCTCTTTTCGACGTTCTCCGCATATCGCGTTTCACGTTCGCAATCGAAATTTCCGAGTGACACCTCGTATTTCCCGGCTATCAACATCCCCCAGCGTCGCGTCCCGACACGCCCGAGAGCTATGAGCAGTTTCGTATTTCGCCACGCTCGTAAAAATTTGCGCTATTTTCATATTATTGAGCTCGTAACTCTCTCCCTCTCTCTCT